GCACTTATATCCCACCCTGCAGCCAATAAGGTTTCCAGAACACCGTATCCTTAGCTTGACCATTCCTTGCCCTCACACTTACAATCTAAATAAGACTGGACACACAAGGAGAGGGTGACAGCCGTGGGGGAAGGGGATGAAATCCAATGGATTCTGCCTCCTTCTCTCCCTCAGAGGTCAGAGCAGTGGCAGCTGGAATGGAAAGAGCACCTATTGAAATGTATTGAAGTGGTATTGTGCCAAGTGTCATTGTTACCACGATATTTACGTGACATTATCATCATTGTGAAGGTGCAAAATATTCTAATTGTGATGCAAACATTAAATTAAACAAAAACAAACCAGCATCCAATGGTTTCTGGAGTGATTAACCCGCACCCCACATCAATACTTGGCAGAAGCCCAATTACAGGTGTGAGTCTTCTCAGTAAGTCTCCTAGCAGCTCTGTGCATATGCATCCTGTGTTTTTGCCCATTTTTCTTGGCAAAACTGCTTCAGCTCCGTCTATTTGGAGTTCCCCCTACCCCCAGGTTGAAAAGCTGCTCTAGAAGGTGATCATCCCAGTCAGACTGTCCCCCACATATACACACACTTCAAGGGGAATTAGGAGCCCCCTGCTTCCTCACCACCACCTTTTCTCTCTTCTTTTTCTTCTTCATGTAGGTTCCCCCAAAAATTCTCCCTTCCCAGGTTGTGGGGAAGAAGGGACACATAACAATCATCACCTCCTGCTTTCATAGGAATATGATCTGCCTGTGAGGGGGAAAGGCCTGGTGGGATTTCTTGCCCTTTGTTGTGAATGGGAGAGGAAGTAAATCACACACACACACACACACACACAAGTAAACAGACCTTCCTTCTTATTTAATGAAAGATCACAAGGACTCTGCCTCCATCAAAACAAGCAAAGGCAGAAATAAGACTTAAAGAACTGGTCACGCATCCCTTGAGATCAGAGGAAAGCTCTATGAAAGATCACTCCTCTGCAGGTTTCATCACAGCCCCAGAGGGTGAAAATCTCATTTCCTTGGACATGGTCCAGCAGTGAGATGTTGGCTTTGACGTGGAGAAGGGAAAATTGAAAATCGAAATAGAAACTGTCAGGACAACGGATATCAATGTCAACTTTTCCATCTGCTGCTGATGCTAATGTAGCCGCATAGAAGGAATATGCGCAGAATACCGAGCACTGCTTTGCATGCAGGCTATTAGTAGAGCAATGGCTGATGTCCAGATGACTCTTTCAAGCATGCTGGGGGCTACATATAAAGAGAGTAAAACAGATTTTGAAAAGTTCCTG